GATTAAAGGTATATACCACAACTGGATAAGAATCTCTCTTTTTAAAAAATGGGATATTCCAGGACAGCCAGGGCTACACAGAGAAACCCTGTCTCAAAAAAAAAAAAGGGGGGGTGACCAGGTGAGAACTCACCTTTCTTTTAAAACAAGGGAGAAAGGTCTCCGGAGAATTGAAATTGACCAAGAACACTTGTTTTTGTTTTTGTTTTGTGGTTTGGTTTGGTTTTTTCGAGACAGGGTTTCTCTGTGTAGCCCTGGCTGTCCTGGAACTCACTCTGTAGACGAGGCTAACCTCTAACTCAGAAATCCACCTGCCTCTGCCTCCCAAGTGCTGGGACTAAAAGGCGTGCACCACCACTGCCCGGCTGAACACTTTGTTCTTTAACCTCCATTTTCCGGGATTCTGATACAATAGATTTCTGTTGGCAAGGCTCTGTAATACTCTGTCATGGCAGTACTAACAAACTATATTGTTAAGAGCACTGACTGCTCTTCCATAGGTCCTGGGTTTAATTCCCAGCAACCACATGGTTGCTCACAACCATTTGTAATGGAATCAGATGCCTTCTTCTGGTGTGTCTGAAGACAGCTACAGTGTGCTCATATACATAAAATAAATAAATAAATCTTTAAAACAAAACAAACAAACAAACAAAAAATCACAGACTTTAGAGACCTGGATTAAAGCCAAGAGACCTGGATTAAAATCCTTCCTCTAGCCTTTATCAGGGCAAGTTATTAAATTCTCTCAGGCAAGTTACTTTGCCTCTGTATACCTCTGCTCTCCATAAGTTAGCTGACGTTCCTTATAGTACTTAACTCAAAGATTTTCTATAAAAATGAGACAGGTAACAAATTCTTTAAGGTCTGTGGGTGTAGTTCCATAGCAGGACACTCAGTTTGCATGAGGCCCAGAGGTTGACAGGCAGCACTGTACTCACGAAGGCGTTCAGGAAGCCAGCACACAGTTAGTAGTCTATAGAGATGCACACTTAGTACATTTTATGTTTCTGGGCAAAGGTAAAGAAACAGATCTGCCCTGAGGAGCTTAGAGTTGTGTAAAATGAAAATAGGTCACTAGGTAATACTTGTTCGTACTGTGACACCATTTTTTCCCTTTAGCACTGTGGGAGGCTTAGAAAGGTAGAAACCCATTCATCCACCTAAGAAGGAGCATACCAAGAGATAGTATACAGGAAGACTTGCCAAATCAAATTGTTTCCAAACACCTGCTCCCAATGCTGGGCCACATGTCACAACTCAGGGACTGATTCTCCATGTAGTTGCAGGTTGACATTTCTAGTAGCTTTGCTTAGGTCTTTCCCAAATATCTCTCTCTCTCTCTCTCTCTCTCTCTCTCTCTCCCCCTCCTTCTCCCCCCCCTCACACACACACACACACCATTGGGTGAGAGGGAGAGGAAGATTGTGACAGAGTTCCCTGTATCCTTGACAGCTTCAAACTCACAATGAAGCAGAGTATAACCTTGAACTCCTGGTCCTCCACCTTCCACCTCCCAAGTGCTAGGATTACCTAATTTTGTATATTAAAAATTGTTCTTGAGGCTGGGCGGTGGTAGCACGCACCTTTAATGCCAGTAATCTGGGAGCAAAGACAAGTGAATTTCTGAGTTTGAGGCCAGCCTGCTTGACAGATGAAGTTCCGGGTCAGCCAGGATTACACAGAGAAAATCCTGGGGCTGGGTAGATAGATGGCTGTTGCAGAGGACCCAAGTTCAGTTCCCAGCACCCACCCACATCAGAAGCCTCACAAAGACTTGTTACTCCTACTCCAGGGGGACGGGACTCTCTGGCCTCCCAGAGTACCTGCACTCACATTCATATACCACACACAGGTACATGCAATTAATTACACATAATTAAGAGTTAGCTTTCAATCCCAGCACTTGGGAGGCAGAAGCAGGTGGATTTCTGAGTTTGAGTCCAGCCTGGTCTACAGTGTGAGCTCCAGGACAGCCAGGGCTACACAGAGAAACCCTGTCTCGAAAAAAACAAAAAAAAAAAACAAACAAAAAAAAAGAGTTAGCTTTCAATTTTGTGTTCAACATTATTCTAAGAAGCCTGTGCCTGAGAACTGGAGAGATCGCTCTATGGTTAAGAATACCGGCTCCTTGCCGGGCAGTGGTGGCGCACGCCTGTAATCCCAGCACTTGGGAGGCAGAGGCAGGCAGATTTCTGAGTTTGAGGCCAGCCTGGTCTACAGAGTGAGTTCCAGGACAGCCAGGGCTACACAGAGAAACCCTGTCTCGAAAAAAAAAAAAAAAAAAAGAATACCGGCTCCTCTTCCAGAGCTCCTAAATTCAATTCCCAGCAAATACATGGTGACTCAAAACCACCTATAATATGATCTGATGCCCTTTTCTGGCATACAGATATACATGCAGATAGAGTATATATATACACACACATATATATGCATATATATGTATATATATGTAGTAAATAAATAAATTTTAAAAAATGTCTGTGCCTGAATTACAATTTTTTTGTGTGTGTGTTTTTTGAGACAGGGTTTCTCTGTGTAGCCCTGGCTGTCCTGGAACTCACTCTGTAGACCAGGCTGGCCTCGAACTCAGAAATCCACCTGCCTCTGCCTCCCAAGTGCTGGAATTAAAGGCATGCGCCACCACCGCCCGGCCTACAATCTTTATAATCTGTGTTGATCTACTGATTTTTTAGGATATCATAGGAAGCCGATTATCTTTAATGATAGGCTGGTCATCTACCTGTGAATTTTATTTTAGGGTCCCTGGATCCCAAAGCGGATGTATTGTTCCTCACTTTGTTTTGAGACAAGGTGTCATTATGTAGCCTTGGCTAGCCTGGAGTTCCTCCTCCTAATTGCTTCCATTGACAGCAAGCATTAGGCTGCCACTCCCCCCACCCCCAGACAAGAACTTTTATGGGGTTCTAGGGAACCCAAACTCAGGCTGTCAAGCTGGCAAGGCAAACACTATCACTTTAGGTAAATCCTCACCCCTAAGTCTGATGTCTACAAGGGTGTGGGTCCATCAGTATCTACTATTCATGGCTTAAGGGATCTTTCTTAATTTTATATTGAGGAAAAGATTTTCAGGGATGGAGAAGATCAATGGCTCAGCAGTTAAGATCACGTACTGCTCTTGCTCAGGACCAAAGTCTGGTTCTCAGTATCCACATTGGGTGGTTCACAAATTACTCCATCATCCCAGATCACCAACACTCAAACATACACACTTAACAACAGTGAAAATGATTTTTAAAAAAAGAATAAGGTAGGCATAGTGAAAAATGCCCTGCCTGGGTAGGGTCTCACAGGATAGCCCAGGCTGGGCTAAAGTCCATGATCTGCCTCTGCCTCACCAGGATTGAGATTACAGATGTGCACCACCACAGCTGGCATAGCAGCCAGCATAGCTTGAGATTTCTTGACATACTGAACCCCACGCCCCAGGGTGCAAACAGACTCATCAGTCACGCGGTCCAAGAAAGAGCTTTAAAAAAAGAATCCCACTTTCCTTTTTTTTTTTCAACTGTTGTGTCTGGCTCTGAAGCAGCCTTTTCTGGGGTTCCTTGGGGCTAATTGTTATACAATGATTTCTGTCACATTAGCCTCAAAGGTGAAATCCTTTTGGTTGTTGTTTCCCTATGGGGCTGTCTCACATTGACTCAGTAGGGTCTGCTCGAAGTCTCCTGACTTTGAGCAGGCCCTGAACTTTCACTTTGTATCTCATGCTCTGTGTGGTTGACAAATTGAAATTCACAGGGTCAATATTTGCCAAGGCTCTCATGTCATGAGTGGTTTTGGTGCACCAGTATCTGAGTCCTCTTGTTAACTATCTAGTTACTAGTATCTGAGTCCTCTT